TGCTGCTGTATTTAGCTGCAGAAAAGCTTGATGACATGCATTGTTTAAGAAAGCATTGTGTGTGTTACCAGTTGATTTCAACTGTCAAGTTTAGATTAGAACTTGAACACTGAGTTGGTTCTATTGGGTGGATTTCTTTTCTGTAATAGTCCTGTGAAGGCGTATGTGTATACTAAGGGTCTATGGTAGAACGAAAACTGTGTTGATGGCTGCATGTACCAGGAAGTTATAGGAAAGTGAACTTAGTGAATAGCTGACTACTTGGTTCTTACCATAATAGACTCTGTACATCTAGTGCTTTACGTAGACCAAAGCTGCAAAACTGTGGCGTGAAAAAGGAAGCCTAGCTTACAAAAAAAGAGTAAAGAATTGCATGATATGGTCCTTAGGAGAAATGCTTCTTAATCTGTTTATTGCCTAATGAAATTACAGAAGCATACAAAGAACAGCAATACTGGGTCAGATGCAGAGGCAGATGAACATTTCTTTGTCCTTTGATTCAGAGTAGCAAGTTTGCAGGTATTTGTCCTTTCTCTGCTTCTGGGCTGCCTGGGCCAGGAGTTGTCTACTCTTCAGCTGCCTTTGGTAGATTCTTCCTGAGTGAATTTTAATAATGGCTTGTGCTTTGCAATATTTTCTTCAACCTGTACTAAAAGAATACTTAATTCTGCTTCGCGCAAGTAGCCTAAACAGGGTAAAGCTAAGGTGATTCAGGTAATGACCTGGCTTATCTTCTGTTTTTGCTTGACTAGTTTTGAAACATCTACTTGGTATGATTAAGTCACATCTCCAGGTAGGGAGCTACTGTTGCTGAGGAGTGCTTGTGTGTAAACTGAGGCGTATCTGTGTTGATAGTCTCAAACTGCAGTGGAACCCGTCAGCATGTCTGACTTGACTGTGTTGTGCTGGACAGTGTACAAACATCAGAAGTATGTCATGATCTTAATTTGTCACTGTGGGATTGCTGGCATGAGTATGCGTGACTCTTGCTCAATTGAACCTTTTGTTCAGGGGCACGGCTGTATGGGCTTGCAAACAGCTACAGTAAATCTAAAATCAGGGACTGTCATCTTGGTGGTCTGGACATCCATGGTTGGGCACAGTCCCAGGAGCTTCCGAGAAGCTCTGCTGTCGCTGGTAGCCTTCCTTAATCTCTTAAACTTCTAGTGACAGCTTAAGTTAGAAAAAACTGAAGTGTTCAAGAAAAGGGGATTTCCAGACTTCAAGAGAAAGCTACTCTGTCTTAGCTGAATTCAGGTCCCTTTTGTGCAAAGAAATGGGGGAGAAGGGAAGTGTGGGTGGTGCTTTATTGTACGTACTTTTGGATGTAATTCCTCTTATCTAAGCTCTATTTGAGATTAGCCTGACTGACTAGTTAACCTTCTCTGGAGGAACCAGGATGAGAGTAGCAGCAATACAGTGGTCAGCTGAATAACGTCTCATGCTGATAGATATTGTTCCAAGCAAACACTGAGCTAAACTGCAGGCAGGAACAGTAGCATGGGGAGCCAAGGCAGTGATTAGAGAACACTTGTGCAGACAGCAGAGCTACTATAGTATGCGGCTGACTGATTCTCTGATTTAAATACCGGATTCAGTGTTTTCTTTGATAACTGAAATACTTACACTAGCACAAATAGCAGCAGACACAGTGTATTGAATTTGGAGGAGTGTACCTTGAAAGGCTTGGTTATAGATTGAAAAATGGATCCAGCTTGTCTGGGTTACTGATACATAGAGATAACACTCTCTATGAATGGACTTTGGCTCTTGGTATGATGCCAACATGGAACATTCTGCATTGCAGTTTACAAAAGGACATTGAAATCTAACCTATAATGCCAGTGTTTGGCTATATAAAATGCTAACTGCTTTAAGAGACTCTATAAAAATAAACCATGCTTCAGATCCTTCTCACACTCTTGCTAGTCACTTGATTAAATCATCCTTGGTCACAGATGCTGACTGACAGAGAAAATAGTATGTGCAAACAAGTTAGTGAGGGCTAATGCCTCAACTAGCTTCTAAAAATACAGTAATAGCTGGATGGTACAGTAAGTTAAGTAACATGCATTAATTTCATATTGAGAGCGTTTATTGGAAGAGAAGAGGGATCTGAGGATTAAAACATGGTGGAACACATGACTTATGGGGAGCCTGGTTTCAGCAGTGGGGCAGTGATGGGCCAAAGCAGGTGCCTGTGTGCTTAGGGGTCTGGGCTATGACTGTGCTCCTGACGAGGCCATGCTGGGGCTGTGCCACAGCACCTTGGCACAGAGCAACTATAACTTTTTTTTTTCCCCTCATTTCTTTCCTTTAACCACGTTCCTGTGTCTGTCTGATCTCTACTGCAGCTGGCGAGTTGCCATTATTTATCTTTAAAAAACTGACATAAATAGATTCTGGAGGGTCATGTGAAACTATCATGAGCTTTTAAAAATTGCCCGGTGCTTACCTTTCCTTGGCTGCCTGCATTGCATTAGCAGGTGTGGTTTTGTTTATGCAGGCCTGCTGCTTTACGTTAGCAACAGGGTTGTGCTGGCCCTGAGTGCCCTGAGGAAACCTTTTGCTCTGTGCTTGGCTCAACCTTTGGGCAAACTCTGCAGACCTGAGTGACGGTTGCACCTTCTGAAACAGGCAGGGGCATCCCGTCGCTGGCCTAGGAACTGAAACTTCTGCTTCTGAAAACACTGATTTATTTATTGTACTGTGATCTTGGATTAAACTTTGTGAATAAGGCCTATGGTTTTCAGCATCTTCTGGTGCAACTGTGAGGTTATACCAGAGGAGGGATATACTGTTCCTCTAAATTACTGGCATCTGTTAGTTAAAAATCTGTTTTAGTTGAGGAGTTATGTGCTTGCAGACAGCTGTGAGCCTTCATCTCTGAAATAATGTCTTCTCCATTAACCATTGTGTGTCACTACACACAATGTGAGTGCCCCAAAGTAAACAGATGCATTCCGACCACATCTTACCTCCATTACTCTGTAGAAGCAAGGACTTTGCCTTTCAGTAAGGGCTTCTATGTGTTGGGACAGCTGAAAGCACCTTATGCTTGCAACAGATTGCTTACAACTGTTTTTCTTGTTCCTCTTTTAATTTCTGTGGTGTGACCTGTTGCTCTCCTCTAGCTGTGGGGCAGTATACAGCTGCATACATGAGAAAGTTGTTCACACTTGTTTCCAGGAAGGGAACTAAGGCTGCTCAACTGCATCTGTGGATTTTATCTACATGACAAACATACATGATACTGAGTTTCACAAATGGAAATGTACAAAGATGAGCTCTGTGCTGAGAGGAAAGATGCTTCTTCTCTATTCTCAGTGTCTGCAAAGTTCAGCTCAGACTATGTACTGGGTTTGAAATAACTGAGGAGCAAATGGGCTTCAGCTGTGAGTTTTGACTGAAACTTTTCCTATATAAACTTGCCCACTTTTGCCCTTAGAGCTTTTGAAGGATTTAAACTGAACTTCTTGGTGAACAGGCTCTTTGTTTTCTGTGTGATTTCCGCTTCCTGCAGTTATCTTCTCATACTAGTTAGTCCTAACTCTCCTGCCTGAAATTTGAAATTGATTTGTTGTGGTCCAGATCAGTGCTGACTGTGTGTTACCCACAGGAAAAGAGAACTATGAAAAGTGAGATCTGAAGGGAGGAAGTAGCCAACCTCTTGAGTGGTCTCTATTTTATCTGACGTAGATAGATACTATGTGTGTCTTATCATAAATTATTTATTTATAAAAGCCTCACTCAGTCATGCTGGTGATGACAGTTTTTGTCTTATGAGTGCCTATGGATTCCTGAATTGGTCCCCAGTAATGCTGGCTCTAAAGGCACTCCTTTTAGGTATAAATCAATTCTTTAAGAAAAGCTCAAATATGCTGTTTGAGGCAGTCTCTCTGAAGAATAGATAATACAATTTATTTAATATCCTATCTAACTATTTATGTTCTTATCCTCAAACACTGTGTACGTTCTGATTTTGAGCATTAGCTTATATTCTGTAAGCTAGAACTGTTGAGTTTAGCTCACAGTTACATGTAGTTGAAGTGCTGCTCAGAGTCCATGTCCTTAGTTCTGCTATAATTACATAATTTTCCATGAAAGTGCTTCCTGTGCTTTGACATAAGTACCATTGTGTATATCATAGGCAGTTATGTATTTGTGCAGTCAACTCCAGGTACTTGCTTTTGTTTTTCTTTGTAACATTGAACTGGTATATGCAAAGATATAAGAGCTTTGTAAAACTGTGTACCAGCTCTAAATTTCCTACTTATATTTCTGAAACCCATTGTGAGTTATCTTGCTTTTCTTTTTTTTCTTGTTTTTTTTTCTTGTTTTTTGTTGTTGTTGTTGTTGTTGTTGTTTATAGTTCAATTTTCCTGCTTTTTCTTAGTCTTCATTTTTGGCAAGCCCTGTGAGAAACCATGGTATTTTAGACTTAGCCAAATTCAGTCTGTGTTAAAACTTCGTGAAACCTGATCTTGTGAGAGTTCTAGTATGAAAAAAATTCAGGTTGGCATCCAGAACCATGGATGTTTTTCTAAACTGAACTTCTGATTCCTCTCGAGGTTTGGTAGTTCACTACTGAATCTGTTTCAGTCCAGTTAATTAGTTACTAACCCCTAAGCCACAGAGCTGGAATTAAAGAAAACAAAACCCCAAACCTCCACATAATTTGATGCAAGAAGAAACTTCTGTTGAACTGGGAAATACATTTACACTGTTATTTCCCATTTTGAAATATGAAATTGACATCCAAATGAGCCATCAGCATGGTCATTTATTCTGGATTTGTGCTGCCTGTATTACTGTAGCTGACCAGTATCCCCCTCTCTGTGCACTAACCTATTCTTTTCCCCATTCTCCAATACTGGTTTCTCCTTTGAGAGATACAGCAGAGATTTTTCTTGTGTCAGTGTTATTTGCTCTATGCAGTGTAGCTTACAGAAAGCACTGTGCCTGTTTTCATTGAGATTTTTCTATTCTTTTCTTTTTAGGACAATGTAGATCAGACTTCAGCTCATGGTCGGCGGGATCTGGTGGAACCAGGTTTCCAGGAACCATCTAATCGCATGTCCCTAAATCACCAAGGTAAGAAATGATGAGTGGGAATCTTTCCTTCAAGGAAAAGTGCTGAGTATGAAGAGAAAGTTTTGTGTCCAGTTTGCGTTTTTTCCTTCTCATTTATCAAATTAAGCTTTGAGTGGTTGGAATAGAAGAGCTGGAGATGTGGGGTTTTTCATCACAACTGTGTTGTTAGATGTGGATGAAGTTCACTAAGCACCTACTTAGAAGAATCTGAAGTCTTGGAGCTCAAGCTGAGTTTACTAGCTTGAGCAGAAGGAATGTTCTCCTGTTTTTAGGGAGTACTGAAATTTAATTCAGCATTTGCAGTGTTTAAAAAAAAATACTTTAAAAACTCCAGACACCTTAAAAACAAAACAAAACAAAAAAAGTATTTACTGTCATAAGTGGGGACTATATGACTACTGTCGTATAGTGGGGACTATTTAGCACACCTTCAGTTTTTGGCTTAGAAATAATGAATAATGGAAAGTGCTGTCTTAATCAGCGAGCGCTCGTATCTTTAGGGTTCCTGATGGCTTAACTTGGAATCAAGTTCTTGAACTTAGTCTTCTAAAAGTTATATGCTTAACTTTTCCTTTAAAAATCCAGTTTATTTGATTTGCCAAGGGCAGCAAGATTGGAATTTCATGACTTGTAGGTCCTCAATACTATCTGGGTTTCAAACATATAGAGAATCTCTCACCTTAGATTTTTTGGTTTAAAACTTTACTTTCCGTTGAAAATAGGAAATAACAGGTTGCCCCGAAGAAAAACCCAAAACTTAGTAGCAGAAGCAGTGCATTGTAGCATGCTTTCATGCAGCACAATTCCTTTCTTGGAAACAGCATTAATTTCACCTACCTTGAGATGTGCAAATTCTGGAGCAGATTTACATAGGTGATTTCTTCTGAAGCTATTTGTGAATATCCCCCTTAAATTAATGGGGTCATCCATATGGGGTCACCTGGAGTGTGGCTCTGCTCTTGCTCCTTGGAGTCAAATGTCTGTGCAAAATGGTCCAAACTAATTTCCAAAGCAGGTATCTTTACACAGAACGCTTTTAATGGAGGGTAGTGGTTGTTAAAGGCCTGTTTCTAAGTCAGGACACAGTTGTTATTCCCACTAGTTTCTGAAGTTAATTTTTCTGTTTGTTTCTAGTGTATACACTTGTAATTCATACCTGGCCACATTGCTCAGTCAGCACATCAGATTTGCCAGTTTCTTTTGAACATTAACTTACGGCCCTTTGCTTTTTACTCAGGCAGCTTTGGTACAAGCACTTACAATTCTGAACCAGACCCTGCTTTCCACAGCCTATAAAAATGGTGATTAGCTTCCTCTGAGGCATCTGAATCTTTTCTACACAAACTGGAAAAAGAGCATGCTAGCGGAGACTGAGATATCCCTGCCAACTGTCCCTGCATGAATAAGCTCTTTCTTGTGAAGGGTATTTCAAGTACGTGTTTCCTGCTGAATCATTCTTTTACTCAAGCAGATGCTGATTTGTTAGCAGAGAATGCTTTATATAAAGCAAGGAGTCTTAAAATATTCAGGTAAAACAAATGCTGGAAGTTGAGTGCAGATGGAGTGGTATTTTTCCTATGAACAGGTTAATAACTGCTTTTGTATAGAAATGCTAATAACATACATTTTTATCTATAACCATTATGTAGTATTCACTTTCCAACAATTCTGCAAGTAAGTATAATAAAGGTACTAAACCCAGGGAACAAAAAGTAGGATTTCTTACCTATATTCCCAAAAGCTACTTCATAAATAAAAACAAAACTTCATCTAGTGGAATAGTATTAACATTCAGTTGAAGTAAAGAAGCAGATACACTTCAGCTACTGACTGAAAGCCATAGGAAGTCCAACAGGCCTTTTTGTCCACCAGAGAAAGTCCAACAGTCAATATTTAACAGTGAATAGACAGCAAGTCAAATATTTCTCAAGCAGTCACTCAGAAGTTGTAGTGAAGACTAGAGCATGGAGAAGGAAAATGTCTAAGCTATGTGGTATTTCCTGAGGAATTACGGAAAGCGGCATGGAAGTGGTCAGAATGATTATTTACCGTCTTCAAATCCTCATAGAGAAAGGGGAAGTAAAAGCATGCTTGGTGGGGGAGGGAAGCAGTGATTTCATTTTTTTCCAAGGAGTTTGGACTTAGCCATGTCTCAGTTCTGTAAAACTTGTAGTACTTGCATATCCTTCATATTTCACAGTGACTGGGATGCTTGCAGCATTCGTGCCCTGTCCAGTAGCACAGGACAGAGCTGGAAACTGTCATGGTTATTTTAGTCTGAACTCTTGCATTCAAGAGTTCAGAACACTGAGACAGTTCTGAAGTCCTTATTAGAGCCCATCAGTTCCAGCACTCCTTCCCCCTTCCCCATCTCAAGGGTTCTACTTTATCTCCAAGCATCTGGTAGCTCAGCCTTATTCCCCATGGTTGAGTACACCCTCGATTGGATGCCAGAATTGTTGTTCTTCAGTGTGCTTTATTAGCAAGATAAAGTTACTTAATTGATTTCCCTGTGCTAGCTAGCAGTAGCCTTGCCACATGAAATATGATAGCAAAATACAACATACTACAGAAAACTGTAAAAACAACTACATTTATTTACCCTTAGACTTCAGGGGGTAAGCTTAACGTGCTTGCTATGCCGCTGCTTTTTTCTCTTCTCACTTCATACTTCTGAGCTTTTCTTCATTGAGGCGTTTCAGAGCTCATATTTCTGTTTGGTTTTCTAACAAGCAGTAATTTATGCCAACTCCAGTCCCAGCAGTGAATTTAATGGGCAGTGCCTTTTATTAATACTTGACGTACTTTTGAGATACTGTACCTAATTATAATTCAGGATTTTGAAGTTAGGCATAAATAAGATGCATTCTGTCACCTTAGATTTTAATTGAAGTTTTAATCATGCAGTTCTGCTGCTTTCTTTGTATTTTCTTGTAGAGATGATTGCCAGTACAAATGCATTTTGCCATGGGTCTGCAAAGAAAGATTCATCTTCCTTTTAGTTCTGCATTTGCTCTCTTAGTAGCTGTTTTGTCTGTTATTGGATTTAATGCTTTTTGTCCCAGGAGTTCCCAGGGAGAGCTGAGCTGAATGCTGCCATGCTTCTGGCTTTGACAGCAGTGAGATGAGTTGTTAGAGTCAACAGTCGGCTCACTCTTTGGTCTTTTTTGGCTGGCTGTGGTAGAAATCTTGCCTACAGCAAGATGGTGAGCATGTTGCAATTGGTCAGTGTTACATTTGGCTTCTAATTGATAGGGAGCTTCTGTAAAAGGGATACCAGTCAGTGACGGTGGAATCTACCTTTCTAACATGCTTCTTAAAGAAAAAAAAGAAAAATGAGTCTATGTAAATAAGTAGGGATTTTTGAATGACTGTGGGCATAGACGAAGCAGTATGATTCCTCATTTAGCCTAGAGAAATGATCTTGCATAGGCCTCTTTCTCAAGCACTGCTATTATTACTTGCTTTAAATGTGTTATCTCTTGCATCTGTCTGGCAATAGGCATGTGAAATTGAGGTGGTTTTGTTATTAGTTCTGTAGCGAAAGAATGTGTTCAGTAAGTACCAGTGCTACCTCTGATATGCTTCAGTTATGGGATCCCACTAGGATGAATCAGTTATTTGGTGCATCAGAACGAACCCATTTTTTTTTCAGAATCCAACTGGTACTGAATGGAAAAAGTAGAATGAAATACAGATTGTTTGTTTGTATTACGGACAGTACCAAAAGCTGCCAGACTTTTCTCATGTATTGTATAAACGTTGTTGTCATTGTCCGGCCTTAGAAAAAAACACCATTAGTGCCAAAAGGATTTACACTAACTACCATTACACTCAGAACTGAGCTCCCGCTTCCTGCCTTGCTCATTACAGTACCTTTGTCTTATTTTAGAGAAGGGTTCTATTGTACTTTGTGATGAATTTTGTTAGCACAGTTACTAGGAGGTCATCCATAATAGCTCTATGGAAGTTTAACTTCCCTAATTATATTAGTTTCCAAACCTATGAACACACAGAATCGAAACAAATTAAAAAATGAAAAGAAAACGAAGTAGGTTGGTTTTTAATACAGATAACTTCAGAGATCTGCATCAAGCTACAGGATGACAGAATAGGATAGCTGATGGAGTGTCAGGAAAACTGCATATAGAAAAGCTGTTAATGATGATTGAATGGAATCAGTGAAATGAGAGTAAAGACTAAGAGCAGTTTAAAATGTTTGTGTGTTCACATAAATGTATTTGCAGGTGACAGATTTCCTTTTATTTTTCATTAACTCGGGGATAGACAGTAAAATAAGGGAGAAAAAGACTATACATTAACTTGTAGGAGTTTAAATAAGTATCAAGATTTTAAAAATTGAATGTATTCTGCTGGAGCTACCCAGTATAAGTTTGGATTAAAAAAATACTCAAATATTCCAGTTGTCTCATATTCTCTTATGGAGTGGTGTGGTAATGGAAGGACCCCTCTGTTTGGATTTCATAGTACAAAGTGTGATATTCTTTAGGTGCCCTTGTTCATTGGATGTTCTACAAGTGAGATTTTTAAAGTAAGTGTAAAGTTAGTATTACAGTATTATTAATGCATGCTTGCTATTCATGTTGATCGTCAAAGTAAATTTTAAGCCTATTTTCTATTGTGATTTATGGAAAAAAAAAAGTAAAGTTACTGCATAAGCAATGATCTTGATGTGTTAGAGGAAAGAGTTTCTAGGAAAGAGTAGTTAGTTGCACTGCAGGAGCTGGGCTGAGGAGTTAGGCTCCCTGCTCAAAGTAGTCCATAACACCATCCTTAGGGACTGAAGCTATATAGCTTTTATGGTGATTAAGTCTTTTTGTCATGTTGAAAATGGAAGGGTGGTGTTCCTACACTATCTCTTTCAAGATTTCTGATTCCAGTTATTACTGCAGGAGATTCATCAGGTATGAATTTAGGGTGATTAGAAGTTCATTTCTTGTCGTTCTTGCTAAATTCTTGCCTGAGGCTTTAGGAGGGGA